GGTTTTTTTAGAGATGATGATTCAACAAATACAGATGATGAAATTAGAGAGGTTAGTGAAGATGGTGAAATTGAAGAGATCTTGAATGAACCTTTGCCTTGAAGGTGAATATGTCAATGACTCAACTCTTTACAAAGGAAAATTTTTTAAAGGCGTGTGTTTCTGATTTTTTTTCAATTGGGGCTACAGTAGTGATGACAGAGAAAATGTTAGAGTGAGAGAGATGAAAGAGAAAGGATTGAGAGGAATGAGAGAGGTGAGTAAGGGTTTGGAGGGTTTCTTTTTTTTTTTTTAAGTTTTGAGAATGAAAATTATTAAAATACCCTTAACCTTAAAACTTGGAATCCATAATATATAAGGGTATTTTTGTCTACTAAAATCCGGTACACATTGCTAAAATGTACCAACTGAAAAAGAGGCGTACGCGCGTTAGCAAACCCCTATATATATATATATATATATATATATTCAACTTATAAGTTTACTTAAATCCTAATCTCTTAGTAGAATGAGTCTAGATTTTTTTTATTAAGAGGTCAATCTTTTATAAACAAATTCATTTTATGAATTAGGGTTTAAAACTACTAATTGGTCAAGCTTCATTCCTAAATATAAGCTTCATTAAGTATCTTGTTTCAAGTTTAGGTTTCAAAAGATATTTTTTAACATCTAATGAACTAAGTATCAAACTATGAATGACCAAATAAAAACAAGCATCAAGTAAAGAAACAAGAATACTAACATTTAATGAAAGAGACATATATATATTTCAAATCATTTGCAAAATACTAAGAGTTTAACGATTACATCTTCCTGCAACAAAATGGGTTTAGTTCTCCATTGTCATGGAAAGTCCAAGATTACAAAATGATAAATGGATCCCACAAACACTAGGAGATCTCAAAGCTTACCAAAAAAGTGTTTTCATGTCTCCAACCATCAAAGATGAGTTTCTCTTCGAGCAACCAAGTAGAAATAGGGAAAAATTTCCATGTCAACAAATGTTGGCCAACCCTAGAATAGCTTGGGCTCTCTAACTTGCTAGTGCTCGATGCTATGTAGATGTCGCCCAACGCTGGCCAATTCTGGAACTAGATTTGGTTTCTGACTTTGTGGTGTTGGGAACAACTTTTATGGGGCTCGTTGCAACTGCACTTCTTTTAATTTAGGTTCTTGATTACTTCTTCATGCTTATGGGGATTGCAAACTCGTATGGTTTGAGACAAATAGCTTCCTAACGCAAAATCAACACAAAAGAATGAGGATTAGTGGTAAAATTATATTAGTATAATCCAAAATATAATCATTTACAAAAACAAGATAAAAATGAAAATTAAGAGAATTAAAAGACAGATAATTTTGTTAATAAAAGATAGCTAAGATAATAGTAAAAATTAACATCACCAAGGACAACCACAAAACAATGTCAATAATGCAAATCAAGGAAAATTAAGACAAAGCAAGTGAAGATGATAAACGAAACTGGTGGTGGTGGTGCACCTCCTTGATCCCCTGTTGTGAGTGACAACAACAATGGTATTGTTCTCCCTCTAGTCTCATACTTCCTTGATCCATATTGTGGCTGACAACAATAGTGGTCTTCCCTTTGGTCTCGCGCCTCCTCAATCTATTATTATCGCTGACAACAACAATGGTTTCGTTCTCCCTTTGATCTTACACCTTCTCGATACACAATTGTGGGGGACATCAATAGTGGTCGTTGAGGCAGTGTTGTGCACTGGTGATGTCACGTCACACATTGTTGCCTTTGTGCGACAGTGTCCTATGATATGAATAAGTGGTTGTGAATGAGTGCAAGAGAGATGACAAGGTTATTACGGACGTGAAGATTTATAAGATTTTTTACATGATCATAGTAGTTTTGAGGGAGGTTCTTAAGAGGGATCATTTCGGGTTACAGTTGGTGTGAAGAGAGTATCCGGTAAGCAGAGGAGCAAGGAAGTATGGAATTAGAGTAGCGCAGCGGATGTTAGTGGGCAGGTTCTTATCAGTAAGTGGCTTGTGCGAAGCGCTTTCTTAAACTTGGTTCAGTGGTTTGTGAAGATTGAGCTTCTTTAACAAGGTAAGGATGTAATTGTCTATTTTGAGTTAAGAGTGTGTGGTGTTTTTTGAAAGTTTTAAGTGAAAATAGATGGAAAAATTTGATAAGAGGCAAAGAAGACAAGTGAGCCTACAGTTTAATCTGCAGTGTAAACTTTGAAATGATAAAGTGTTATAGGACGTTGAACAAAGAAAGTGGGTCAATGTGATGAAGAAGAGAAACTGAGTTTTGGTTTCAAGTTGTAGCGTCAGTCACGAGGTGAATAAGCATTAATAGTGGTTGGAACAAACAAGAAGGTTCAGGTTGTTGGTTTGATAAGGGCATAGAATAAGAATTAGTTGACAAAGTGTGAAGGCTAGTTGTCTAAAGGGAATGTGGTGAAGAGAACTCATTAGTATAGTTGAAGTACTATAATTGGTGAGTTTCTCAAAGTGGTTCAGTTAGGACGGTTGGATAAATCCTAGTTTGAGAGGTATCTTAAGGTGGATAATTATTGATCAAGCTAGTGATTTTAAGTATGGGTCGGGTTGACAAGTTGAAGAACTAAAGATGGAGTGCTCAGGTTAGTTTTGTCACGACAACGGATAAGAGTTCTAGTTTGGTAATAGGATAGCATAGTTGGAAACTATGTTACTCAAGAGTGAAGATCAGGAAAGCAATGTGAAGTCATCATAAAGGTAGGGATTAAGGGTGATCAAGAGTGTTAACAGTTGGTAGAAAAATTAGAAGTTGTGTTGATCAAGCCAGTGGGATAATGGTTCTTAGAAGAAGCTGGATGAGGTAAAAGAGTATCAGTCAATAGTTGATTTGAATTCAAGATTAGCGGAGGATAGAAGCGGGATTAGTAGTGTGGCAGACACAATAGAATTATTTATGTGAAAGAAAGATTCGTATTAATTGAGGTTTAGAGGTTCAGATTTGTTTTGAGAATGATGGCTAGACCAAATCTACATTATTGATCACTAGGGAATTTTAACACAGAGGCAAGGTTTTCATGTTAGTCAGGTTGTGAGGAGTAGTATCTTTGTCAAAATAGGTCGTTGTACTAGAGAATATGATGAGGATAGGTTGTTCTTTCTATCTGGTAAGCGAATTTTCGAGGACGAAATTTTTCGATGTTAGGGAGAATGTAAGAACCGAGAAAATAGCCTGTTAAGAGTAGATAGATGTATTAAAGTAATGAGATCGAGCATTTGTGTTAAAATAAGCCAGCAGTGTAAATAGGAATTTAAAACGCTCAGTTCATTATCTAAATACTTTCTATCTCTCTAAAAACACTATTCTCTACTCTTCCTCTCCCTTCTCTCTAGAAATTCTCACCGGTGGCTCATCTGTTCGACGATCAAGAGGCACCTAAAGGGCTTCCTGTTTCACCGTTTGGTTTAGCGTTTAGAACTGGTAAGTCTCGTTCGCTGATTTTTAGTGATTTATGGTTTTGTTGCATGCAAGGAACAATCATGTTTGCATGTGTTCCGCATTCTCCTTCTTCCTTTTCTGATGTCATTTTGGTTCTACGATTGGTCTTCTTTCACCAATCGATGGTTCATATGTGTTCTTAGAATTTTCTGAAAGAATAAGCAAATTTCTGAAGGTTGTAGAAGTTGTCCGTTCGGTTAGAGATAAGGGGGAAGCATTTTTCTCTTTGTTTGGTATGCACATATGAGTGATGAAAACTACACAAGACTTTCTTTTTGCATACTACACAACACAAACATTGCATCTATTTTATTTCGAAACCAGCCACAAGCTGGCCCAACTTGACTCGCTGGCTAACTCAACAGGTTGGGCAAACCAAGCTATTTCGAGTTGAAGAGTTGAAATCTCTATCTCGGCCGATCTTTTCTAGACAAAGTGACAAGTTGATCCATTCTTAGTTTGCTCTATACTTATACTTCAAAATGTTAAAACTAACATTTTAATTCTTGAAAATAATAAAATTAGAAAAATTCTAAACCATAGTTATTCATCTTGGTTCAAACTCAATAAATATCATGCAATTTTAAAATACAATATTGATATATTTTTAATAAACAAAGACAGTAAATAATTAAATTTAAAGACTAAGATGGTAGTTAAACTTTGTTCGAATTTACTTAAAAAACTATATGCCCTCAGCGCTTACTTTGAGGGCTAAAGAAGTGGTTCGGCCTAAAACCTAAATGAGAGAACTACTGCCATTCCCTTTTAATTTCCAAAGACACTTGAAACTTATACCGTTTAAGTAACAAAAACCTCAATACTTTCCTTGATTGAGAAGAAAATAAGAATATATGATGAATGCCTATTTCTTTCTTTAGTTGTGTAAAAATTATTTAATTGAAATATCAAGGTTGAGAATGCAGTCACACAAACCACATCCTAAGGAACAATATAGACAATATAGATCACGACACAAGACATGGTATAGGAACATCATAAATTACTTCAGACGCATAATTATCCTTTGAGCAAAACTTTTCACGTAAGATTCCATTTGCTTTCAATATTAAAATCTAACCAATCTCAGAACCACTACAGCATCAATCAAGTGCTTTGTATCTTAAAAAACGTTTATCATTAAAGAAAATGTTTAAGATAACCACTTACAACACTCTATTGTTCTTCCTGACCATCAATATAGGGGTTTAAAGTTCCATAGGATTACTTAGAAGCTTTTCCAGTTCGAAATTCTTCCTTTGACCTACCGCAATAGACAGGATCTTTGCCTGAAAAGGTGATAAAATTCCAGCCAAATGCAGATCCTCCAACTACATAGGTCCCTGGAAGACCATCTTCAACCGGCTGCTGCTGAAAGCCAGGAACTGGTGGAGTAAGCTTAATTTCAGATGGTCGAGATTGCTGCTCTTTGGGTGTTTTCTGATCAATGTTCTGACCAGCCTTTGACTGGTCATCTTTCATGCTATCACATAACCTTGACACGATCTTCAGCTCTGCAATTTAAGTCAAAAGGCATATTTCAAGCTACCACATGGAGTATTTTTACACAACCTACACCAAAACTACTAGAAATCATAGACTTGGTGGCATCATCAGGAACCAAGGTTCTGCCTGTATGACAATCACTAACGCGCCCACAGCCATGCAGACAGCAGAATTATGTATGCTCTCAGTGGAGAAACACATAAAATAGACATAAGTCAGAAATATAACAAATATATCATTAGCATTATATTATTTTATCAATCATGTAATACAATTTTTACTAAAGGAGCATAAGTCCTACCTATATGCCAATCATTAAAAAGGTGGTTTTGTTCAGACAAAATAGACACAATCAAAACACAGGTCCTCCAAGACAGACAAAACATTAGTTTCTGTTCAGAAGACATACCAAATACAAACAGACATCAATAGATTATCCAGTTTCATGATCAGAAGTATAATGTGTGTTTTCATTATGTAATGAATATAATTTTGCCTGGATGAACTTACTTTCTTGAATTTCACGGGCTGCCTTGCAATTTTTGTAGTCAGGTGTTCGGATAACCTTCAAGATCAAACATGAAGTTCATACAGTGTTTCCAGTGAAAAAAGGCCACTACTCTACACACCAGATAAAGGGCAAGAAATACATTGGAAATTTACTCAATCGATCTTAACTATTAGGAAAATGACTCAATAGTTCATACGTATCCAAATAAATTTCTAACATAATAACTTACTAAAATGCTAACTAAAAACTCATAACACCACCTTGGATCAAATAAAAGAAACCAGTTACTCAGTACACGGTAGTATAGACCAACCTATAGTCAATACATAATGATATAATTTATGTCATGAGTTAGTTAATGAAGCATCCACATAAAATGTACATGCAAGTATGCAACTATAAGAAATATTCTCACCTTCTTGGTTAGAGCATGACTAAAAACAAAAATTAAAAAGAGGAAACTTCCAAAATTTGCTTAATCAGCGTGTAACCAGAGACTAGCGTTGGCCATTTGGTATTTCAGAGGACTTTCTACATCCATTTTGCAGAGAGTAGTTTGCTCTGTCGAGCTTATGTTCTTAACTTTCACTTTTTTCTTAAGATCACTTTCTTGATTAGGGTTAGTCTTATTAAGCATGCTATTTCTAATTATAAAATGGATAAACCTCTATAAATGGTTCTGTTAGGATATTTATCCTATTTTATCATCATTATAGTGTGTCAAGGGTTACCCTATTTATCATGATTATAGTGTGTCTAGGATTACCCTATTTATCATGATTATATTGTGTCTAGGGTTACCCTATTTATCACGTA